ATAAAAAAAATTTTATTCAAATCGCTTTATTTTTGGAGAAGTTAGATGTGTCCGGTTACTTTTGAATAGTACTGTAAATAGGCCAAGTTTCTTTATTGATTCAGTTTAGTATGTAGATAGCATATGCTTTCTCATGTACTAGCTGTCTAAAAACAGCTTTATATTTAGCAGTTTTCTGTAGTTGTCAATAAAGATCCTATAAAATCCATAATCAGCCTCTCATTTATATCACATAATCAAACGTTCACTTTGTCTGGTTTTGTTGCAGTATGCCCCATTTAATTAAATTCTCCACGACTTACCAAATTAAAAATAATAGTGTTAGAAAAAGAAATGGAAGATGTGATAAAAACAAGGTTTATATTTAGACCTCACTAAATATGGAAATGGGACTGAATTACAGAAGCAGGAATCGTTCTTTATTGCTATGAGAAATTAGCCAAACAAGGAACTAAAACTACTCCTACTTCTGAAGAACTAATAATCTTTTGGCTTGAGTAATAAGTAAGTGGATTTGCCTTGTTCCTTTTAAGTGGAACAGTTGTTTGAGCCATCTGAAAAAGAAAACTCTTTACTAAATATGAGAAGAACCTGTTGAACTGGAAGAAGAGGATGAGGAAGAGGATGAGGATGAATAATGTTTGATTGTTTATTCTGCCAGTCTTCTCTTTTTTGTTCATCATGTGCTGGTGTTAATGTTTGTTAATTTTCCTTTCTTCTTGGTAAATTTTTCTTCATTTTAGATATTCCTGGAGAGTTTGGTTATTATTGATTTTAAAAACATATGGAACGATTTTTTCTCCTGGTTTTTGCTTCTAATAATGTTATAATTCTTGGGTTCCATGGTAGATTTGATGTATACTTTTATATAGAGATGATCCTACATTAATCCTGTTATGGTTTATATTCACCACATTCTGGTATTGTAAAGGGAGCAGTAATTAACAAGTCTACAAGTTATGAATGAACACCATTATTACTTTTCAAAACGTCATCAGTCACACCGGTCAATTTTACAATCACATCATAATCAGCCTCTCATTTATGTCACAATAAAATGTTCACTTTGTCTGGTGCGTGCCCCCATATACTCCTAAAAAGTGCACTGTATTACGATAACATAATAATAATAAATAACTGATAAGTTGCGAATTTTTCTGTTTACAGTTGAGCAATGATACCTCAGAATATCCTGCACAGCATGTTTAATTACACAAAGTTATAATAATAAGAAACCCCATCAGATATTCACAAGCCATCCAACACTGAGATTCATCCTGTCGTAGTATTTCTCGTCGTTAATCGGTCCGGGACAATTTATTTTATAGTCTCACGTAGAAACTCCTCGGTCAAGACAATATTAAATATCATCTCTAGAATTTTAGTATACGTTGGTGAGCAAAAATTTATTCGTCTTTAAAATTAGTAATCACTTTCTAAGTGAACTACTGGGTTTCTTTTCATTTTCGGCTACCAGCACTCTACATTTAGCAACGACATGGAAATCCAAAATACTACAAATACATTTGAATTATGTACACAGAAGAAAATATAGTTGTACCGAGCGTATGCTACGGTTACGATTAAGCAATTAAAGAGTTTTGCTGCAGACATATAATAAAACGTTGACATCTATAAGCATTAATTAACATTATTAATGTTGAAAGGTTTAAAAGCAATAATTAACATCAAACACTATAACGTCCTGCATTCCGTCCATTATAATTCTATCCTCCATTCCACCTTAGACTTTAGCGTGGCAATTCAGTCGTGCTCTGTTCTTGGTCCACGTCATCCGCATCTTCAGCCTCTCTTTCTACACGTCTCCTAATCCATACTGGGATCATCACAGCCAGTGCGATAAGTGCCAATCCTCCAATACTAGTCCAAGAAAAAAGATGTAATCCCTCTTCGCTAGTCGCTTTTTCAATTGTCAAACCTGCCTGTACGTGCAAAGTCGATGGACCGGCGACGCCAAGAAGAGTTCCAAAAAAGAACGGTTTCAGCGGCACTCCAACATGTGGAGCAGCAATGTTAGCAAACCAATTAGGCGGAAATGGGGCGATACGGAGGACTATTATGTAGTTTAAAAGGTGCGCAGAATGTGCTTGCAGGGTGGCTGACCAACGATCAAGGCGGTCGGCCATTTTGCGTCTTACTAATGATTTACCAAAACGTTTTGAGAGCAGGTAGCAATTTGTTGCACCGACTGCAGAACACTTTGGAATGTTCAAGGAATTGAATTCAGTATTGCAGATGGTACGTTGATGGATTTAGAGGATAGAAAAGATTACTTACTATGCATACTGTTGCCAAAGCGACAGGAAGACCAAATAACGCTCCGCCGAGTATTGACAGCCACATGCTTCCCGGTATTGAGAATGTGTTGAGACTGTACAAATTATTAAATCATCGTAATAATTAGTAATTCTGTTTAATTTTTTTACAACTTTGGCCCAGCAAAGTTCAGTTTTTTTTTACTTACAATACATATACTACGATAAATGTAGTGAGCACATTATGATAATATCTTCCCATGTAGCTTCCAAGAAGTTCATTTAGCGCTTTTAGATCATCAAGATTCTTTGGTAGGTGAAGAATGTCTCGCTTTTCTCTACAAGGTTAAATCAATATTACACGTTAATAACTTGATATATACAGTTAGGTATTCGCGTTTTTGTAGTCCGAATGAAAGCGCGATTGTCCTAAGCATACTGCGCATTTGCTATGACTTTCTAATTGCACTCTATATTGTATCCTTTCCCAGACTGAGCGATTTACTTGTGGACGCTCCACTATTTTATTCGTATACTTACTCGTCGATTGGCGGTAAATATTCTTGAACGACCATATACACTATTATACACGATATAAAAAATAATGTAACCAATTGACCAATGGCTTTTAACATTCCCCATCTTGCCCTTCTTCTATTTATAAGCTCGACATCGGCAACAGTGATCGTGATAGCCGAATAAGACTTCTTATAAGCCGTATCAGCAGTGACGAGTGCTGACACTTCTGATATGTAAGGTTTTGTTGTTTGTCGCATAGTGAGTTTGACTAGAGATGGGCGAGTTGCTCTGTATGCTGTCGGGTGTGACTTTTGATTCTCGCCTGCCAACGTGCGAGTAGTATATAGAACGGGAGAGTTGGTGAAAGTGGGAAAGGGGGGATGTTTTTATACGACCTAATCAGAATGCGGAGAAATGGCACCAAAACGAAAAGCTGATCCAACTAAATGGATAATAGTAATAGGCAATATACGTCATAGTAGCCGTAGTCGTTTGTGACATATTAATATACTTGGTTAATGATATCATTGATACTACATTCAATCAGATGATATTTTAACATGCCGAGGACGGGGTAAACAATAACCACAGTCAACAAGGACATCCAAATGCGAAAACGTGAGAAAATTATTATTAATTATTACGACTAATTTCTCACACAGTTATTAGAATTAACACACACAATTAAGTTGACAATCTCTTATATTCTCATAGGTCAATCTACAATAATACACAAAGCCTTTGCATTGTGTGAAACCGTTTGTGTAAAACTTACCATTACTACTCCTCGCTGCTTCACCAACTATGAAGGAACGCAAAACACTCCGCTACTTCACCGGCAGTACACCTTCCGTTCGAATTGCATCGTGAGGTTAGTAAGTCAATTGGCACAGTTTTTTGCTAAATACGTTATCACGCTGACTAATCCAACTAATACCAATACGGATATTCGGATGTAACGGTAAATGCTCCGGGAAACATCAAATCAATAAGGAAGTCGGTTGGAAAGTTCGAGTATGATCGTCGTTTTGAACACATGATTATTTGGTTGAATGTGTCACGTTAGCAAAAGCTAAGGTTTGTGCGACACACGTAGCTTTTTGCTCAATTGGACGCTTCACATGCACTGGCTTCAATCACAAAGCAGTTCTTTGCTCTATTAACCCCTGACGTTCATGAGATTCTCTGCAATTCTATATGCACAACATATGCAACAAATACATCATGTGCGAATGAACCCTTCGAGACTAATTTACAGAAAATGGGCAGGTTGCGTAAGTCTATGCCAGCAATCTTACAGCTTCTGCCTGAATCTGCATTCGGCTTGTGCAAATGTAGTTACAGTCGACCCTCTTTATAGTCACGCCGTCAGGAACAATGCACTTTTGTTGAAATTGTGCTTATAAACAGGTTGTGACTGTATAGAGGGTTTTTTTATAAGTTCCATAGTAATTGGTTCTCAAATATAGTGTGCTAATAAAGAGGTTGTTATATGATGTGCTTATGGAAGGGGGTGACTATAAAGAAGGTTGACCGTATAAGATAGCTGACCCCTCAAGCTGTGCTTTAGTCCCCTTCTGGGGAATGCAACAATCAGGATTCACTCGTGCATAGGCTCATATGAAATTCTCATGACTATTTATTCGTATTCAGTTGTCTTTTTGATCAAAGTGTTTGCCAATTAACGAAGCTGACCTAAACCTTGAGCTGAGTTTCGCATAGTATGAAAATCGCTAAATATGGATACATTATCTTTATCCATAACAGGCGAGGATAGGTTACTCATGAATATTCAATCGATCGAGCGCATGACCAACAATTTCTACGCGGGAATCACTAACTTAACGGATTCGGTGATATATTCCCCGCAGCGCGGTCAAGACACACAAGAAATTTTCAATCCGTCATTTAAGTAAATAACTATTTATCGATCTGCTATAGGGATTCACAGGCAATGCCTCGGACGCAAAGATCAATGGACAACGAACGCGACGAAGAAGCTGTTGCTCCTAGTGAAAAGAAGACGAATTATTAAGCAATATTACATTGCCGCTCACTTTTACCGAATATTTTTGCTTCATGTTCAATCAATCGGTCAAAGAATAATTCTTTAGAAAAAACGTTTGCGGAAATGGAATTAGCAAAAATTTCTACTTTAAATGCAAGAGAGAAAATATCCGGTATAATACCCAGAAGGCTATTTAACAACGAGCCGCTAGAATAAAGTTCAGAAACGCATGAATTGCTTAATGTTAATGAAAGAAAAGATGTAGTTTTATAGGAGCTAAAAGTTTGCTTTAAAAAAATATATTCAGCTTTATGCAACAGAATGAAAGATTGTTGAAATCTAGTGAACTTATGTCTATCGACATTTCATGTTATCGTGCACTGTCAACATGGAATTATGACAAAAAGGAAATCAGACCATTGGCGATCGTACGATCTCATACTTATTCTGTAAAGTTATTCGAACTCGGATGAATAGTGAAGGTAAAGTTAAAATTTAAAATCAATACGTAATAGAGTCGTCAGTATTTAATCGATATAGTTTTAAAAAATTTTGGACCAGAATTTGGCAAGGTTATCGAAGAAGTAATGATTTTGAGAGGACTACCTTTTGATCTATTAATTACTCACTGTCGATATTAAACTTATTAACCAACGACTTATGGCAATTTTAAGAATGACCGAGCCCGTATTTGCTCAAGTATATTCTCATGAATGTACTTGTTATTGTTGTCATATTATTACATTTGTTAATATTACTTATTTGTTAAATTTATAGACACCACGAAACCGGATTTATGTATGGTAATCGATCTCGAGCGCCAAGAGAGAACGACTCTCTATATCATAATCATTCTTGGGCTCGGTGAACATCCGGTGGGGTTTTTGCATTTTTATGTGAGACGATACTAGACAAGTTAGTCATGATTCCAATCAACATGATCGATAAAAAAGATATTAATTTAAACAAGAACTGTTACAACGATAGAAAGGCATGTATTATTGTTAGTTAATTATACAATAAGATAAACTAACATTTAAGTTAGAAATTCAGTTTTTATTAATCATCTGGTTGAAGTATCTTCAATATTAATAATAGACGATGTGAAAAGTTAATTCAGAACATTAAATACAATTGCTGCTTATTCTTCGAAACTCGAAATCGGTTTTCGTCGATATCATAATTAATCATTAACAGTTCAACAAACAAAGAATCCCATGCTCCTGAAATTCACATATTGTTACTTGTAGTTATTACTGATGTGTGAAATAAAATACATGATATTATATAAGTACGTGTAATACATGTATGTGGAATTCATCAGCACAACAAATGAATTAGTTAGTACCAATGGCAGTATTGATGTGGTTCGTTAACAACAGTGACCCCTAGCATAAATAGTCAAAATCAAATACTGATATCAATTATCGATGGTGTACTATTAATTGGGTTCTGTAAACAATATGTCTTACGAAAGACATTTAATATCAAGATTAACACTTGATCTATAGCAAAATTAGTAT